CAAAAAAATATACGTATTTTGGAAATGTTGAGTCGAATTAGTCTAGAATCGATTAATTTTATGAAAGAAAACCTTTCAAACAGCCGTAGTCCGTAAACTATGATTCCTACAAAATTGATTCATAAAGAACGGAACGTATCTACCGTCTTATAGGGGGATCTACTGTATATATATATATAGGTAAGAATCTAGTGTTGCCTGAGTATAAAAGATATATATATATATATATTTTAATAATTTTATCCAATTGAATATCATCAGAGCACAATATATATAAGATATTTAATATTATTTAATTATTACTTTAACATTATTACCATTGAATTTATCATTTAAAATCATTCGGTTCTATCCAGCGAAAACAAAACATTTCAAAATGATACACGTTTCTCTACTGACGAACGTGTTGCCAACTTTACACGACAATAAAATTAAATAAATTAATATTTTATTTCTCAAAAAGATTTAAATTCAAATAACATTTTCCTTAATTATTTATAAAACATATTAAGAGATAAACAATAATAAATTACGAAATCATTTTAAGGATATAATAAAATTTTGACGGTCGAATGGCCGAGCGGTTAAAGTGGAAATTTACCGATTTGAATATTCGGGATGGTCAATCTCGGATATGTCGGCATCCTCCCTCACTACCTGGCCACTTTATTATGAATATGGCCGCATCCACAATAGGCTTGAGAAAAAGCTGTCTTAAAGCTCACAGAGCAAATAAAGTTAATGAAAGATATATCGGGCATCGTTCTTTACCGAACAGCCATCCCTATGTCGGGACTGACTGAATCCAAGACGAATGAATATAATTGAATACTTTAATAGTTTGTTTAGACAAGTCATTAACTTTATAGGTCAGATTTAAAATAAAGATTATTCTAAAATTAATGCAAGATTTAAATTTCGCGCCATTTTTCTCCCATTGGGTTGGAAATGCCATATGAAGTGGCATCTTGTAGTAAACACATTATGCTTAATTAATATGAAGCAATGGAGGAGCACGTAATGATTATCAAAACTTATTATTACAAATACGGGAAAAGTTTTTCTGCGATTTTGCGCAAATGATTGTGTGGAATTTTAGGTCGGAAAAACAAGCCACATGAAATTCAAGAATTGTGCAAAAAATAATTAATGCATGCTCAACGAATGAGATCTTAGTGTTTGTTTTAAAACTCTTTCCGCCCTGTGGGCACTAAGAAACCTCTTTTAGCAAACCCATTATGGGGCCGGCCAAGCCCACAATGGAGTCGACATGTAGAAAACTGCCTGTCTATGTCAACTTGTTTGGTCAGTGTCGTAACTAGGCAGGTGCAACAGGTGCACCCGCACAGGGCCCATTTGGAAGAGGGTCCCAAAATGCACGTGTTTGTTTTATTATTTTCCCAAACCTAATTAATTAAGGGGCCTAAATGCAAGTTCTTGCATTCCTGTGCCCTTAATTAGGGCACAGGAATGGCTAGTTACGGCACTGTGTTTGGTTGACATAACTGTGCGAGTAGACTTTGTGTTTAGTTGCTTTTTAGGCTAATTTATACGAGTAATATTTTATACGTTTACAAGATTTTAAAATGAAATCTCGTGAAAGATGGTACAGTAGAGACTCGATTATCCGACCCAATTGGGGACTGGGGTTGGTCGGATAATTGAAAAGTCGGATAACCGAAAAGTATGAAAAAATCCATTATTAGTGTAGTATATTATTATATCCCATGTAATTAGTATATTAGTATATCGCTATTAACCTACTTCGCGTTGAATTTTCATCGATGTTAAGCCTAACAAAAATTTTTTAAAATAATAATCGTCGCTATTGTATCGTTAAAAATTAGAAAATTAAGCCTCGTTTAAATACTGGCTCCCTTTCATGGTCGAATGAGTGTTGCCAGCTAAAACACGTAAAAATAATATTAAAGTAGCCAAGACATAGCCAAATATTGTAGCGCCACATCACTAGCGGACATTTGAAATTTGCCGACTAGGACTTAACCGAGGTGTCGGTTAATCGGGGGTCGGATAATCGAGGCTCTACTGTATTACACACAAATTTAACTTTGTACTAGCGTGTTTCACTCGTTAGTGTTTTTAGTGACAAAAAATTACACAACTCTTTGCTGAAATGTTTACTTGTTTATTATCGTTTGAAATATTACATATCTGACTTGTATATCAACTGTCGAACGTGTGTTGTCGTGGCCAAAACAAAGTAAAACGCGTATAAAAACAAAATTATTTTTACAAATATTAAAAGCGTTGCAAGGTGCAAGAATCGAATCTCAAAAATTCAAAATAATAAAACTAATAAAGATTTATATGAAAAAAATTTCAAAATTTATTGTTGAAAGATTAACATTAACGTGTAAAATAATACTCGTATAAATTGGCTTATAGAGAAACTAAAAGCAAAGTCTACTTGCACAGCCATGTCAACATGTAGACAGGCAGATTTATACATGTCCGCTCAAATTGATAAAGATTTTCACATCACATGCCTATTATAGACAGTAAATGAAAAATATATTGTATTTAATGTAAGGTGGACCTTTTCAGGTTTTAATACGTCATAATTAGAACTCTGTAATGCCACGAATCTTATTGTCTGTCGCTAACTGGATTGCATCATTTCCATGATTTTATTAAACCAATATTCGTAACATCAAATATTTAAGAGATCAAAAGTTGAAAAACTTACGCTCGAAGCCAAAATGGTTAATAAATAATGTTTGCACCATAAGATTATATTATTAAAACAATTTTATACTATTATTATAAAACGACAAAGCACTTAATTTCGAAAATGGAAATGAGTTTTATAAAAATAAAATTGAGAATATTAATGAAGATTTTACTCGTTAAGTCCGATCCCTCTCGAGATATAATATATAATAGTTAACAGGTGAAAAGTAAGTGCAAAGTAGTCGGGTGATAGTCTGTTACGTCGTATCACGTGATAACGGATTGACCAATAATATGTAAATTAAAGTTTTAAAAACGGTCTATTATTTTATAATTATTCGACATTTTTAAATAAATATAAGTTTTAATTTCAGTTTCGGTATAAAAGCCAGAATTTTAATTATTATTTTATTATTTTTAGTTTTAATTAACTGGGTACCTGATATGAATATTATAATATATAATATTATATTAATAAATTTTTGTTTTTTAATTTAACTTAAGCATATTTAAACACGAATTCTTTTTTTTGCCATTTATATTACGTGAATATCAATTAACGCGGTTTTTATTAATTGATTAAATGCGGTTAGTTTATCTGTTTTTACTTTCCCGGCTGTTAACAGAGGGAAAGTATGGCGATCGATCAAAAAATGTCCCCCAAGAATTTTACAGTTTTCTATTCAGGGCCCTTGAACGTCCAGAAATGTAAAAAAAAAAAAAAAAAAATCGGGGGTTTCTGTACGTACGGATGTTAGTGTGCGCGTGTGAGGCACAATTTCGTTCACCCTCTTTGAAGCTTAAGAACTCTCGTGTTTTTTGTCGAAAATTTCTGAAATTTTACAAGATTTGTGTATTAAAATGGAGGATTGATGCTATTAAATTTTAATGGTTACAAGTCAAGAAGTGGAGAGATAAAGGGGGACGTGTGTATTTTCGGTAAGATTGGACCTAATGACGATTTTACTCGTTATTAACATTTCCAATATTTTATAAAATCCATCCCTACCCTCAAAATTAACTTTTTTGCCATTTTATAATAATTAAAAATATAAACATTTTCTTACTAAAATGTCATAACAGATGGCGCCACCAAATGTCGCGGATTTTTACTTACGTATCGTACATACGTTTGTACTTAAAATTGTGTGTTGCGAAGTTCAATTTCACAGAAAAGTTTTCTATGTGTATTCTTGCTTATAGTTCTGAGTTTGTATTAAACAAATATATGATCGAAATCGAAATAAATAAACATTTTAAAATAAAATACACTTTAATCGTATTTAACTCGGCAAATAAATAATGTTCTTAAAGAGAAAACAAAATTTAAATTTCACAAAAACACAATAAACATTTTCAATTTATTCGTTTTCGGATGAGAAAAATTATGTCAACACACTCCTACTGCGGCGTTAAGAGCGGTGACTTTTGCATTTGAAAAAAACCTGTTAATTTAATTACATATAAAATATATTTTAAAATTAACAGGGTGTTAATGTTCAAGGTCGACATAAGGACCGAAAATTTTGGAATGTAAATAGAGAGTTTACCGTACTTTGTATGGTGAATTCGAGACAATCAAAAACAAATTAATATTTTGAATAATTAGGTAGCATAATGCTCAATAAAAAGAAAAACAAAATAGCAATAAAATGATGTTTTCTGATTGCAACTATTATTTCCCCAAAAGAATTTTGGCAAGGGAGAAAGATTTCGGTGTCCCATTTTCTTCATATTTTTCAGTTTATGATGATCCTAGCACGGAGAGACCTGCCACCGAATCCAGGCAAGCAGCCAGGAATTATACACGAATAATCTATTCCGGATAGGTCAAACACTTCCCTCGATACCTGGTCTCCCCTTTTATTTTATTTCAACGTTCAATTTAGTTTTTTCTTTATATTTTTCAGACATTTTCGTTTTAATATGATTTTTGTACCGCTCAATTACCGATAATATGGTACAACTGTTTAGAAAAAATTAAAATTATTTTTGAAACAATAAATGTAATTATAATTTTACTGTTATTTTTATTCTATTTTTTAAAAAATGATTATACGTGAATATTTTCTGACAACGTATAAAACAAGATAGATAAGGAAATAAGGATTATAAGCACTAGTATTTACAATTCGTATTGTATTTACATAAACTGAAATTGAGTTTATGTAATGCATTTACATTACATAAACTCAAGTTGTGTTTACTTGAAGTATTGCATTCCTTGTAAGGTTCCACACTAAACATGATTGCGACCATTAAATACGTTTTAAGAAAACATCTCACACACAATTCACTTTCTACCTCCATCTTTCTTTTGAAACAATTTAATAATTTTCCACTTTATTCCAATTGATGTGTTAATATTTTCCCTATTAAAAACTGTACCGTACAGCTCCAAGATTTGCGAAAGATATAGTCCACTATTAACTATACATAAAAACTTATTTGGCATAAAGAGTAGCTTTCATAAATATCTTTATAATATAATAAAACATTGGAGAGCTGGCTAATAATTTATTGAACTTTTTCTCAGTGGCGTGCCCTCCTGAAAGCTGTGGAAGAGCCGCTTCCCTTATACTTTCTAAAATATAAATACATATTGCGCGATTATTTCCATATTTTAATATACTTTGAATTACTTAAAATTAATATTTATATTTAACCGCATTATGTATTTTATTACAAATTTTTAAACATGTGAAAAACAGTAATAAGATTGCTATTTTATATTCGAATATAAATTTGTATGTGCATATTCCCAATGAAAGCGCCGTATTGTCGAATACTGGATAGCTTCCAGGAGAAAATATTTCAATGGTGTGATACGCACCAAAATACTGTATCGTATAATTTCGTCCATTAGTCACTGGTAGGGAGATATACGTAAGAATATTATACGTATGAAATTCAATTATAGATAATTGATTTCAGATAAAAAAAAGTTATTTATCTTTACATATTCTATTAAAGTTTGACAGATTTAATATTAAAACTTGTTTTCGAATGCTATACAATTTTTCAAAATGTGGTTCAAAGTCAACATTATGATAGTAATTTGACAAATATACGAGTTTTATTGTAGAACTAGTTCAATAAATTATGAGCCAGCCGTCCGGTGTTTTATTATATTATCAATACAAAGATATTTATGAAAGTTACTTTTTATGCCAAATGAGTTCTCATGTAAATAGTGGACTATATCTTTCACAAATCTTGGAGCTGTACGGTACAGTTTTTAATAGAGAAACTACTAAATACATCTTGAAATTAAATTTAATTTCACACTTTGCGTTGAAATAAAGTGGAAAATTATTAAATTGTTTCAAAAGAAAGATGGAGGTAGAAACTGAATTGTGTGTAAGATGTTTTCTTAAACCGTGTTTAATGATCGCAATCATGCTTGGTATGGAACCTTACAAGGAATGCAACTGCGAAGGTTCAAGTAAATACAACTTTGTCATTAGGATGTTGAAAGCCTTCTATTTCGATTTAATCGAATTTATTTCTTGGCTATTTTTCTTTTTACTCGTTAGTTTTACCATCCCGGAACTGGACTACCACCCTCCTTGTGTTGGTATATGGAATGTTATTGAAGGTGATTCTTCTATTCTTAAGTTAACACTTATTGTTGCTGCATTTATACACGCCATAACAAACAGTGCGATGAAGAGAAACAAAGTGGAACCCACGATTAAATTCTGGCGTATTAGTTTTTCGGATGAAATGCAAATGTATAACGTTTTACAAGTAATATGGCTATGTAATATCTTCTTTTTGTGTAGCTCTATAAGTATATCGCAAATTATGATCATTTATTTATTTTATTCCTCGTATCAAAAAGGATTTTCTTCGGTTTATGAAGGATTGTTTTGCAGCATAATGGCAGGAACCTCTTGCTCATATATACTTGGAGGGTTATTGTATCTTTCGACGCTAGTTTTCAGTGCTTTTTATATATCAAGAATTGCATTTTTGAATTTATCGAAACATCTTTCGTTATTAAATATTAATGATATAAATTTATATGACAAAATTGAATCAATAATGATTACCCATGACGAACTCTGGACATATAGTCGAGATTGGAACAATACTTATAATACTATTCTGATGATCGATTACTTCTGCTTGATGTTGCTTACTTCTGTAATATTTTATAGTTTAATATTTATAGAAATGAGCCCATTTACGACGTACATTTACTTTAATGTCACCTATTGTTTAATTTATGTATGTTGTGCCTTTGCATTTTTACTTTCGCTCCTTACTGCTGCTGTAAGTAATTCTGACTATTTCGTTTTATTTGTAATTCCTGTGTAATGTTTTTTCTTTATTTTTTAGATGCAGAACGGATTTCAAGACATTCGGAGATTTGCGATTTGTCATTTAGAACTTGAACAGAAATTGAGAGTGAGTATATTTACTTAGTTTTTAGTGAATTACAATTCGAAGCATCTGTAGTATCTTCGATTAATAATAATACACACGGAACATTAACGCAAATATTTATTAAACAGATCCTGAATTTCATGAAAAGATTTGGAAAGGCTTCGTTATTATTTTCAGCAGAAGATTACTTCAACGTAACCAAAAAATTTCCTATTAAGGTAAAATTAGAAATAATAAATTTAATATCGAAAATTTATCTTTCGAAAAGTCGTGACGTTTGAGTAGTTTTTAAATCTGTCAGTGTGATAAAAAAAATTTTGTTATAGTTTTGCAAATTTTAATTAATTAATTAATTACATTTCTAAATTCGATACGATATTATTTTATTGCCTTAACACTAGTTACCTGATATTTAATTCAAAATTAAAGTCTCGCTTCTATTGAAAGGTGTTTTGATTTTTCACAACAGAAATTACATTTAGCGTTGGAAAGAAAATTTTTTCGTTAATCCAATTAATTGGTAGTCTTTAACACGTAGTTTTTAACACGCGAAAAAGTCCATACATAGTGTTTGCTTGTGTTTTTGGCTTATTTAATATGATTTCGCCTAGCTGACCATCAGAAACTTCTAGTTTAATATAACAATTTCTGTATGTACCAATTTAAGTTCTTTGACTGTTTTAGAATAATGTCCCATGTTAATTATGCCTAAATTTTAAAATTAAATTAATGTAAAAACTAGCATGAATTAATTTTAAAGCGATAAAGTTCTAAAATGCTTTGTTACTTATACTCCAGCAGTAACAAACATGGAAGAAATACTGACACCTTTATTGTGTCACTAAAATCGAATACAACACTCTTAACGAAATTGTATAAAGAAAGATTCTAGAGTTACATTTCAAATTTAATTCTACACATTTTCTGATAAAAGAAATAAACCAGTATTCTCGTTATATATTTATATAAATACTCATAACTTCTGTACTGTATTTATTTACAGATGGCAAGCTCACTTCATTCGATATTTTCCAGTCTCACGAACTTGAGGAGCGTGGAACAGAAAACAAAATGTATCGAAGGTGATTCAGAAAAAATTCGGAATCTGTTTTTAAATTAAACTCAGCATAGAAATCGCATACACAGCACAATTTATAATAAAATAGGTATAGTAGTATTAGGTATTATGTAAAACCATTTAATAAATTAGTTTTCTTTTTTGTCAAAGTCATGTTTAATTAAACCATATACAAATGTATTAAAATTAACAATAAAATTGTTTCGTACACCAATTTCTTAAGGGATGATACAGATACAAAGAACACTGCCCGATTGTCGTATAAAGCAAGGTTATTTTAACATCGCACAGCTTACAGTATAAAATTTAAATGCCCAAACTAAAACCACACCACAATAACGATGTAATTTAATAACTGATTATGTACTTTACACAGAATATTTGATCAATATTCAATGCTATTATACATATGTTAGGATTTTTTTTATAATGCTTTAAAATTAATTTAACATTCAAATAAATAGTTTTGTTTAAAATAAACTTTAATCATTATTTAATTCAATATTTGTATCTGTATTTTTACCAAGGATTTATTATTCCACTCTCACCAAAATGAAAATGGATTATTAAAATAAATTGTAAATACTAATCCTTATTTCCTTATCTATCTTGTTTTATACGTTGTCAGAAAATATTCACGTATAATCTTTGTGTGTTTTAAAAATAGAATAAAAATAACAATAAAATTGTAATTACATTTATTGTTTCAAAAATAACTTTAATTTTTTCTAAACAGTTGTACCATATTACCGGTAATTGAGCGGTACAAAAATCATATTAAAACGAAAATGTCTGAAAAATATAAAGAAAAAACTAAATTGAACGTTGAAATAAAATAAAAGGGGAAACCAGGTATCGAGGGAAGTGTTTGACCTATCCGGAATAGATTATTCGTGTATAATTCCTGGCTGCTTGCCTGGATTCGGTGGCAGGTCTCTCCCCGTGCTAGGATCATCATAAACTGAAAATATGAAGAAAATGGGACACCGAAAACTTTTCTCCTTGCCTTTTTGGGGAAATAATAGTTGCAATCAGAAAACATCATTTTATTGCTATTTTGTTTTTCTTGTTATTGAGCATTACGCTACCTAATTACTGTATTCAAAATATTAATTTGTTTTTGATTGTCTCGAATTCACCATACAAAGTACGGTAAACTCTCGATTTACATTCCAAAATTTTCGGTCCTTATGTCGTCCTTGAACATTAACACCCTGTTAATTTTAAAATATATTTTATATGTAATTAAATTAACAGGTTTTTTTCAAATGCAAAAGTCACCGCTCTTAACGCCGCAGTGGGAGTGTGTTGACATAATTTTCCTCATCCGAAAACGAATAAATTGAAAATGTTTATTGTGTTTTTGTGAAATTTAAATTTTGTTTTCTCTTTAAGAACATTATTTATTTGCCGAGTTAAATACAGTACAATTAAAGTGTATTTTATTTTTAAATGTTTATTTATTTCGATTTCGATCATATATTTGTTTAATACAAACTCAGAACTATAAGCAAGAATACACATAGAAAACTTTTCTGTGAAATTTAACTTCGCAACACATAATTTTAAGTACAAACGTATGTACGATACGTAAGTAAAAATCCGCGACATTTGGTGGCGCCATCTGTTATGACATTTTAGTAAGAAAATGTTTATATTTTTAATTATTATAAAATGGCAAAAAAGTTAATTTTGAGGGTAGGGATGGATTTTATAAAATATTGGAAATGTTAATAACGAGTAAAATCGTCATTAGGTCCAATCTTACCGAAAATACACACCTTTATCTCTTAAAACGAAAACCCTTTATCTCTCCACTTCTTGACCTGTAACCATTAAAATTTAATAGCATCAATCCTCCATTTTAATACACAAATCTTGTAAAATTTCAGAAATTTTCGACAAAAAACACGATAGTTCGTAAGCAAAGAGGGTGAACAAAATAGTGCCCCAGACGTACAGTACACTCACACACCCACACTAACATCCATACATACAGAAAAACCTTCCCCGAATTTTTTCTTGTATTTTTGGGCGTTTCAAGGTTTCCCGAATCGAAAACTGTAAAATTCTTGGGGTCATTTTTTTATCGATCGCCATACTTACCTTCTGTTAACTGCCGGGAAAGTAAAAACAGATAAACTAACCGCATTTAAACAATTAATAAAAACCACATTAGTTGACATTCACGTAATATAAATGGCATCGAAAAATTCGTGTTTAACTTGCCATTAAACCTGATTTACTTTGCTTTAATTGTAGATATTTAGGTCTATTTTCATTAAATTTTTTTATATTTNTTAACGCCGCAGTAGGAGTGTGTTGACATAATTTTTCTCATCCGAAAACGAATAAATTGAAAATGTTTATTGTGTTTTTGTGAAATTTAAATTTTGTTTTCTCTTTAAGAACATTATTTATTTGCCGAGTTAAATACGATTAAAGTGTATTTTATTTTAAAATGTTTATTTATTTCGATTTCGATCATATATTTGTTTAATACAAACTCAGAACTATAAGCAAGAATACACATAGAAAACTTTTCTGTGAAATTGAACTTCGCAACACACAATTTTAAGTACAAACGTATGTACGATACGTAAGTAAAAATCCGCGACATTTGGTGGCGCCATCTGTTATGACATTTTAGTAAGAAAATGTTTATATTTTTAATTATTATAAAATGGCAAAAAAGTTAATTTTGAGGGTAGGGATGGATTTTATAAAATATTGGAAATGTTAATAACGAGTAAAATCGTCATTAGGTCCAATCTTACCGAAAATACACACCTTTATCTCTTAAAACGAAAACCCTTTATCTCCCCACTTCTTGACTTGTAACCATTAAAATTTAATAGCATCAATCCTCCATTTTAATACACAAATCTTGTAAAATTTCAGAAATTTTCGACAAAAAACACGATAGTTCGTAAGCAAAGAGGGTGAACAAAATAGTGCCCCAGACGTACAGTACACTCACACACCCACACTAACATCCATACATACAGAAAAACCTTCCCCGAATTTTTTCTTGTATTTTTGGGCGTTTCAAGGTTTCCCGAATCGAAAACTGTAAAATTCTTGGGGTCATTTTTTTATCGATCGCCATACTTACCTTCTGTTAACTGCCGGGAAAGTAAAAACAGATAAACTAACCGCATTTAAACAATTAATAAAAACCACATTAGTTGACATTCACGTAATATAAATGGCATCGAAAAATTCGTGTTTAACTTGCCATTAAACCTGATTTACTTTGCTTTAATTGTAGATATTTAGGTCTATTTTCATTAAATTTTTTTATATTTGTAAAATTTTCATAAATTAGGAAAAGTAAGAATAAATATTTATAATTAAAATATCTAAATTATTGTTTAAGATTTCTAACTTTAGTTTTTTTCCCTCATGATATAAGTTACTGCTTTGATTAAAAGACTGGAAACAAAATAACAATTCTTTTGAAAACAGTAAGATAAGCTCTAAATGTCTTGACGAGTCCAAGAGAGATGCCTAATTGTCTTGAATACAGTATATATCACAGTACAGAATACAGTACAGAAGTTTATATGAGATCTTAACCAGAGAAAAAAAAAAAAAAATAGAGAAATGCGAGAATCTTTGGTAAAAACATTTATAGAAAGTGAAAAAGAAAAGTCTACACATTGGTCAGTTATTACTAAATCTAATTATGTAATGTTTCTTAATATATCAGATTATATTTGGTTCTATTCCTTAATTCTGTTTTGAATGACAGAAGTTAATATATTCATGTGTTTTTTTATCTGAATGAATTTATACGACATTGAGAAATATGTTTTTCCAATGCATATTAATAATATAAATATTTTAAATGAGTAAATGAAATTCGGTGAGATGATGACATTTAATTAATAAGACTATTATTGCTACTAATTGCAAGGATGAGAATTTCTTTGATGCCATAATAAATTTATAAAGTTCTGTAAATCACAGAACTGTAATAAAATAAATTCATTCATTTTGATGATAAACACAACATTTTACTTTAATTATAAAATAGGAATGGTATTTTATTCAGAAAGAACAGCTTCTAGTGTTTATGATTGGAAGTATTACTTCCATATACAGTATAAAGATGACGTACTGTACAGTACATATCCTATTAGTAAAAGATATTACATTTATTGAATTACATTCCTTTATTAAAAGTATAATTTTGGGTTTGGAAAGAGTGGGTGTTTTAATTAATTGATGATAATTCAATCAACCACATAGCAATATCTCTATTAAAATTTCAGATTGTATATTCACATTCCAGGAATAGTTTGAGACCTCCTCTCCTTATTTCTGATCCAATTAATTTACTAAAATTTATTAGAAATAATTGATTAAACCAAAAACTTCTGAAAAATATGTCTTTTCTCATTTAAAAAAATTACACATGGCAATGGAAAAACTTCTGAAATCGGAACCTNAAAAAAAAATCGGGGGTTTCTGTACGTACGGATGTTAGTGTGCGCGTGTGAGGCACAATTTCGTTCACCCTCTTTGAAGCTTAAGAACTCTCGTGTTTTTTGTCGAAAATTTCTGAAATTTTACAAGATTTGTGTATTAAAATGGAGGATTGATGCTATTAAATTTTAATGGTTACAAGTCAAGAAGTGGAGAGATAAAGGGGGACGTGTGTATTTTCGGTAAGATTGGACCTAATGACGATTTTACTCGTTATTAACATTTCCAATATTTTATAAAATCCATCCCTACCCTCAAAATTAACTTTTTTGCCATTTTATAATAATTAAAAATATAAACATTTTCTTACTAAAATGTCATAACAGATGGCGCCACCAAATGTCGCGGATTTTTACTTACGTATCGTACATACGTTTGTACTTAAAATTGTGTGTTGCGAAGTTCAATTTCACAGAAAAGTTTTCTATGTGTATTCTTGCTTATAGTTCTGAGTTTGTATTAAACAAATATATGATCGAAATCGAAATAAATAAACATTTTAAAATAAAATACACTTTAATCGTATTTAACTCGGCAAATAAATAATGTTCTTAAAGAGAAAACAAAATTTAAATTTCACAA